GTTTTTATCCTCCCAAACCTGGTCCACTTAATCGCGGCCGTAGGGATGAAAGACTTGGTTGATCCGGTTGACAAATGACCAAGAAATTGATATTTAGGCCTTAGACTGGACCCACATCAAATAAACCTACATAGGACTGGAAGGGGACATGCTTGCCCTATAGGTATTCGATCCGTGGTTCGAGCCTGCGATAGCGACGCCACTTTCATCTGCTTCACTCTACGACCAGGGGCTCCCTCCTTCTCAAAACACGTTGGTATACTTCTTGTGAAAGAGCGAATGGGTGAAAATTTTGTCAAGCAGTTCCACTTCATTTTCGAGATAGAAATGCGAGCAACCCCTTATTTAGGCTATTCACGCAGTTGTTTACTCAGTTCACAGTACAGTTATTCTTTTTCCTAATAAAAAAGCTTTTTGAGCAGTGATACTGTTCCATCTATCAGCTTTCAGATACGGTCAAACTGAATGTGCAGCAGCTGGTACGCTGAATTTGCCGTTCGATGGCTCCACCGGTCATGTTGGCGGCCCTGCACCTTGGTCTCAGGTCTGCCCTGTTTTCGTGTGTGGGAACCTTATCGCGAGTTGAGTTATCGTACACAGCTCATGGTCAGGTCAAATTGGTGGACGTGGCCGAAATGAACTACTTTGCGGCACAGGATAAAGGAGAAGTTTGCTTCCGTGGAGCCGCTGTGATGAACGGTTACTTCAAGGATGAAGAGCTCTCCAAGAAGACCATAGATGAGGAGGTAAAAGGACTTTCTTGTAAGCCAGGAATTCGAATGATGCAAATGATACTTGCTGTCTTATCTGGGCTGCGAATTACGGTTTTATACCAACCTTCATCCACTGAATGCCATGCGCGAGAAATATGATGCTCATCGCAGGATTTCTTTACGAAAGTCTTTACGGTCCCCCTACTTCCCCTACCTTAATTATAAAATATACCACTTGATAGTGGTACAGTGTGGCCCATTTTGTGAAATCTTGCCGAGGCATTTGCACAAGAAATAATAGGATTGCCCGCAGCTGTAACGGTCTTATTATTCTGGGATATACTCT